ACTTCAAAAAGGTCCATAATAAGAGTTACACTCATTTGCAATTCAACAACAAATACAATCACTTGCACTAATGTGTGCAACACTACCAAAAAATTTGTTCCCACACCGGTGTCACGATAGACCAACTAATTAAGAAGCCAATTGCCAACGAGGATGTATGCCAAAACATATTCGGCGTAAGTACATCATTGTACCCGATATAGCGTCCATGTTGTATTGGTATGAATCTTGACTGTATGTTAATATATGCAAAAGTACAAGAGGGCAAAGAAGTTTAGGATGAAGAATTACTGGTTTTGGGATGAGTTAGAATATATCTTTGATTGAATACAAGCAACCGGTAGTAGGCACTATTCAGCCATCTAGGACCCTGAATAAGTGCTTGATTCCACCCAACAAACAAATATTGCTCATATTAATTTTCTTGTTGACTATGACACGCCATACATTCGAGAGTCACTAACAAATCCCCAATTTGTTGACCTCAATGATGACACCATACCAACTAAAACCCCCAAGCGTCTAACAAGAGTTGGAAACCTGCCAAACTCCTTAAAGAAAGGAAAAAAACCATTGCATTCATGGCATTGACCATGCCGTTAGTTCATGGGTAGAGTCAAAGAAGTCACGAATAGATGGTGCTATCAAAATCAAAGAGAAGGAAAGGAGCTGCAAAAATAGATGAAGCTGGAGAAAGAATAGAGGGAGATGATTAGGGAGAAGGAGTGAGAGGAGAGGATGGTAGCTAGGGAGAGGGAGAGGGAACAACAAGAGCTTGCAGGTATTCAACGGTGTATTTTGGTTATCAATGAAATTTTCGAAACCTCACAATTCCCTTACTATTGTTATTTCAAAGCAATTGAACTATTCCATGATGTGAAGTGGAGGGAGTCTTTCCTCACAATGACACTGAAACTAAGGCTTGCTTGGTTGCATGCCTTAATGGGCAATAGACCGCCAAGCAATTAGTTTGTGTAGTTGATTTATTCCTCTCCTTTGTTAATTTGCACTACAGTAGTATTGGTTTAGGTCTCTATGTTAAACTTTAATGTTTGATGACTTTAATCATTGGTTTATGTGGCACCACATACTTTGAACGAATTTTAGATTGAGACATCTATGTTAAAGTTAACTTGATAGTTTATTGTTGAATTGTTGCTTTTTTGCATTATATCCATCCAACCATGTTTACAATTGATGATATTTGTATGAATTTATACATGGCCTTACAAATGAGATTAACTTGGATGTTCTTGAAAATGTATATGTATGTTTTAATGCAGAAAAGATGTATTCAAGTGACGATAGTTTTGAAAATTCATCCTTATTGGATGAAGAAATGATGATGTGTTGTGCATTCCCTCTAGTACCAGAGTTATATAGCGCACAGATTACTAAACAACCATGTATGACATCTTCTATAAATGGACACACATATGTTCGAAACCAAGTCCTAAATGGCGTAGGACACGCATATAGATGTTATAATTCATTTAGGATGGAGAGACATGTGTCCAAAAACTTAGTAAATCTTATTAGGCGGAGGGGATATCTAAAAGATACATGAAACACCATAGTTGAGGAGTCCCTTGTATACTTCCTGTTAACAATTAATTAGAATGAAAGAAACTGTATGATAGGTGAGCGTTTCCAACATTCTTATTGGACAACGAACACATATTTGAAGAAGGTTGTTATAGCGATCTGTAAGTTAGGGAGAGAGCTTGTAATTCACCATCATTCACTGAAGTTTCGATATTTATTAGGAGTTCAGAGAGATATTACCCGATGCTTAAGGTAGTTGTCCCATTTGAGATTGATTAACTGGTTCATTATTCAATTTCTTCCATACAATACTACAATTATGTTGGGTTATGGTATTAAGATTGCTTGGGGGCTATGAATGACACACATGTTTCAACTAGTGTGCCGGTTGCAAAGCAAATTCGTTATAGAGGTAGGAAGAAGGATTACACTTCAAATGTATTAGCAATATGTGATTTTGACATGCTATTCACATTTGTATACATGAGTTGGGAAGGCTCAGCACATGACTCTAGGATATTGGCGGAAGCCATTGATAGGCCAAATGTAGGGTTTTTGATGCCTCCACCAAAGTGATTGAAATTAAAAGATTGAGTCATTTTCACATATTCGCTTATTTCATTATTCTCACCACTAGAACAAAATACTAGTAAATATTACCTTGTTGATGTTGGTTTTGCTAGTGCACCTGGTTTCGTCACTCCTTATACCGGTCACAAGTACCATTTATCTGATTTTTGAGGGCACAATAATAGGTCCAAGTCAAAGGAGAATTTGTTTAACAACACACACCCACACACTCGTTATGCAATGTAATCGAGTATTACTTTGGGGACAATGAAAGGAAAATTCCCCATTGTGAATAACATGTTCTTCTATGACCTAGATATGCAATGATACATTAAAAAGAGATGCACATATCGATGCACACATTGACCATTGATGGAGAATAGACATGTCATTATATCGTGAAGCTTTGAGCCAACAATATGTTCCTTCATCTTCCAATTCTAACACAGAGATAAATGCAATCGGATATAGTATTGCGGATGCTTTATGGGAGAGACACTTGAGTCATAATCATTAGATTTGCTGACATTATTGCCAAAGACTTTTGGAAATTTTACATTCCTTCTTGAATTTCATTTCGACACGACATTTCATTATTGCATTATTCTGATATGACAATGATTGAGCAGATATTGTTTTCTACAAAATTCTATTATTTTCTACAATTTTTCAGTATAAAGTCTACTATTTCTCTTCAAAATTCTGGATTTTGTGCATTTTCTTGCTATGTTAAGCAAGCTTTTACAGATTTCTGCAATTTTCTATCAAAATATGCAAATATTTCTTGACAAAAATCTGCAATTCTTCTGCAAGATTCAGGATTTTCTGCAATTTTCTTATATTTAACCAAATTTCTACAATTTTATGTGACATTTTACAAGCTTTTGCAATAAATTTGCAATTGTATGCTATTTTTCTGTTATTTTCTGCCATTTTCTACAATTTTTCATAAAATTTTGTTATTTTCTGCAATATTCCTGCAAAAAAATCTGCTGTTTTCCTTAAAATTGTGGATTTTCTGCATTGTATGCTATTTTCTACAAAATTTTGGATTTTCTGAAATTTCCTACTATTTAACAAAATTTCTACTCTATTTTGCAAAAATCTGCAATTGTATGCCATTTTTATGTTATTTTCTGCAAAAATCTGCAATTATATGCTATGTTTATGTTATTTTCTGCCAATATCTGCAATTTTCACAACATTTTGTTATTTTCTGCTATTTTCCCATATTTTTTTTATTTTCTGCAAAAATTGCTAATTTTGCTATTTGACCAAAATTTTGCAATTTTCTGGAACATTATACAAATTTTTGCAATAAAAATCTAATTTTTATTATTTTCCACAAGGTTTTGTTATTTTCTGCAATTTCCTGTAAAAATCTGCTATTTTTTTTACAAAAAGTCTGAATTTTTCTGTTATTTTCTATATTTATGGAGAACTTTTCTGCAGAAATACTATTATACATAATTTAGACCATTAGATGTGGATCTACCATTTATACCGTTAGATGGTATCTAAATTATGACAGTGTGGCACATGGAATAATCACTCTTAATAATCAATGTCAAACTGAAAAAAAATCAGCTGGCATGGAGGAAATGATACCAAATAATCAAAAAGGGTGCTTTTTTCAAAAATCGCTGATTTTTAAAAAATCAGGTGTGAAGAATCAGCATTGATGCCAAACATCTTGTAAAGAACCCAACAAGGATCAGCACAGGGTCACCTTTTAATGAGCTGCTCCACTATCGTCAAAGTCATCAGTCATCGTCAACATAGTCCAGTCTAGAAGAAATTCGGACTAACTGAACGCCAGTAATAAATTTATAGCCAGCCCCAGTGCCCCACCGTAAAAGATGCGGGTCCAATGCTTTTAAATACTTACGTAGAACCTTATCAGTTATCACAGCCAGCCTTGCTCGTCTAGAAGCACATAAGAGAGGTCCGACTAGAATACGAATTAGTTAAGGCCTGGGACATCCATTCCTTATGGTATTTTTTGTCTGTCCACTCATCTACTGTAGCCCGTCCAAAACCCTAAACAGAGGGTAGGGTCTTTTCAAACGGGAAAAGAAAAAGCAATGCAAACAAACAGTAAATTTTAGGGTAGTAAGAAGTAAAAAGTAAAAACTATGTACCTCTAAGGCGGGACTCATGTATTGGGAACATCTCCCGATGTGAACTCGAGGGAGACAAATACAATACAACCCACTTTGTGGGCCCTGGTCTTCCTAATGCCATATGGACCCCATTCCGGAAGCGGACTGACTGACAGGTCCTAGAAACTTATGAAGGGCAGAAGAAATAGTGGTAAGCCCACTCCCTCCCCAGGCACTGATGGGCCAGGCGCAGGTTGACCATCACCCGAAAGAAAAGGAATCCCATGCTTTCAATTGGTCAGAAAATTAATTTACACAAATAATAAAAAGGTACCGTCGGGATCGAGTTGATACGGCTTTGCCACATGGGCCCCGCCTGTACGGCCAAACAGTATGGAGGATAGCAAAAGTCGTGTCCACAGCGTATTTGTAAACCCATTAATTAAAAAAAAAAAAAAAATGATAGAGTTCGGATTTGTTTCTTCGGTCCCTTCAAGCTACAACTTACACGTGAGTGAGGCGAGCTCTGTGTCTCAGCTTCGGCTAAACACATTTAATTAGCACACAGTTTAACGTGTGATTAAGAGAAGCTTAGAAGTTAGAACCACGTCAACAATGACAACCACAACCCCCACCACCGCAAAGAAAGAAACGAAAAAAATAAAGCAAGACTAAATAATACGAAGGAAATCCAACTCCCAGACCTAACTAAAAGGAGGAAAGGTGTACACTGTTCTTGCTTGCTTCCGTTAAAAGGAAGCGAAGACCAAATCAACTTTGCAGTTTGCAGGAGGAAACTGATGAATTCATTAAATACCACTGTTCATCATCATCAGACAATAAATTTTCAAACAGATTTGAGGGCTCTCCCTTCTTTTCTCCCAAATCTACCTCCACCAACCTCCCATACTCCATTTATCCCGACATGATTGTATAGTATAGTAGAATTGTTGAAAGCACCAAATAGATAGAAACCGGAACAAATTAAAAACACTGTGCACTCAAGGAAAGAAAAAGAGAAATGAAACCAAATAAATGGAGCAAGTTGGATGGGAGTTGACAACATTGATAGAGGTACAGTCTCTCAATTTGGACAGTCGAAAATGATGGCATTGAACAGAGCAAAATAATATCAAATACCAAAGAACATGAGAAAGAAAAACAAAAGAAAATCCAAACTGTAGCAACCAATTGAATTGCTACTAGAAATGGAGGAGAAGAATCAAGGCAGAACAATTTGTAAGGTTACAACGATTGTTAAGCATTCAAGCTTCACCCAATCAAAGTAGATTAAAAATAATTAATAACTCAAGAAAGAAAAATTCTGCTACTAATTTGTGCTCCTCCCTAATAAAGAAAATAAGAGACATAAATTAAACGATTATAAACTTAAATTTGAATCTCTCTCTCTCTCTCTCTCTCTCTCTCGTTCTGTTTGTGTATCTATATGTGTCTCAACTTTTATTTGTTTCAGAAAAGGGAGTTATTAACGATGGAAACAAGAAGAAAATGAACAAAAGAAACGATGAAGTTTCCAAGAACACAACCAATCTTTCACCAAAAATTTCCCACAAAACGCATTTCAAAAAATTCTTCTTTTGTGTAATAAAACGAAGACCAAAATGGGAAATACCAAAAGCCCAGGACATATCCTTATCAAGAATTGAGTTAACAAAACTTGTAAATAAATTGGAATCAATAGAAAACTGAAAATCGAGAAATACCCAACACACCCATCTCATAAATCCAACAGATTTAATAAAACTGAAAAAAAAAAAAAAAGTAAACCACAATTGAATTCCAAAATAAATTCCCTTTTTTTTTTCTGTTTTACTCTTCCCTTCTTCTCTTCTAGAATTGAACAAAAGTATTCAGTAATCACCAAAAGAAAAGAAGGAAAAAAACTAGTCCCTCTCATTCTAATAGTTTCTGGACAATAACAACAAGAAGAAAAAGGAAAAGGTTCAGGATGATGAGGAAGAACCATTAGTGGTAACATGAGCACTACTATCATTGTGGTGACTGTGGTTGTGGTTGGTGTCTGGGCTACTTCTACTTCCATTTGCGTCTCTCTTGCCGAAAGTATGTTTGTTATTATGCATCCATACCTTCAAGACGCCTTTCCCCACCCCAATCTCATTGCAGAACTCCTCCACTACCTCTTCGTCAGTCTTCTGCATCTTCCACCCGAGCCTCTCTGAGAACGCATGCATCTTCTCCTTCTGTTCCTGGCTGAATTTCGTCCGAAACCGCTTTCTTCCATTTGGGTTTGTTGTCGTCATCGTTACCGTCGCGGCTGTTGTTGCTGCCGCAGTGGTGCTCACATGATTTTCCGGCGCACCCGATAAGCCGGTGCTCAGTGCTAGCAACATGTGGGGTGCAGATGGGTAGTACGAAGACAAGAGAGGTGGCGGGGAGGCTGAATTTGGGCTCCTGCCGCGAGCTACTATGGGTTGGTGAGGATGGTGCTGCAGTTGCTGGTGATGATAGTCAACCGTGTGGGTACCCTCATCAGGTTCACGGCGATGAAAGTTGCGGTGGCAACCGCAAGCAGCACATTTTAGGGAAGTTGGGTCGGTTGGGGTGGCAGATGGGGAGGGCATGAACTCTCCGCACCCATCTAAGGCATGGCCTCCTATGCTTGCCGCGTGGTTCTTGAGACATTCCTTGTAACTAACCACCGCCGCAGGGGTGGTCGGGGTGTGATTCTGGTGGTGGTGGCGCTTGAGTACGCCGTTGGAGAAGGATAAAGGCTTGGAAATGTGATGTTCGTTGAGCTTGGCTGGTTGGGTCGGAGATGGTGTCTCGCCGTCGGTTTCCTGGGTTTTCCTTGTGCTGTTGGGGGTTGTATCGGTGGCTAAGTCCATGGTTGGAACATTTAAGCTGGACTTGTAGACGCTTTGAGAGTTAGGGTTTTGGTGGATGGGTAAAGGAGGGCCTTCTCCTTCGTGAGAAACGGTCGGAAGGTAGAGAACAAAGATGGGGAAGGGAGGATGGTGAACAAGAGAGAGAGAGATGTTGATGATGACGACGATGATGATGATCAGTGATGAGTGATGAAAAAATCTGGGCTTTGTGGATGACGGGAATACAGAACACAACTATACAAGTGTCCTTCTTAAACACTAGTTTTCAACCCTGGTTCTAATCTCTGGTTAAGTTTCTCAACCCTTCAAGTTAGATGTGGTGTAAATTTGCAATAAATTCGTGTCTCAGATATTTATTACCTAAACTCGGTCGATTGACTCGTGCATTCGCACGAGTTAATATTGTCACAGCCCTCCATTAAGCCTGCAGAACGAGTTCCCCTCGTTCGATGACCGCGTTGACCCGGTAGTATTATTTAATATTACATGATGTGAGATTAAACATTTAAACCAATAAAATTACTTTTTGTTTTGTAATTAATCGAAGTAGAAATAATCCACCTTCTGCACCCGCATGGTTCTGAATTTGATTTCTTTGATAGCAGTAATAAACAACCGTTTATTTTTTATTTTTCTTTTTTTACTTTTTTAGTTTTATGACCAGAAACTAGCAATTGGTTGTCTGGTTGAGACTTGAGAAGTTGAGAGAGACCTGGGACCCTTCTGTTTTTAGAAAATTTCGACCGGTTTATTTGTTTTCGGACAAATAAAAAAACTTTTGAAAAATGGAGTGGCCTTTTTGTCAATTTGTCACGTCTTGTAAATTTTTTGAAGATGTATGTATCATTCTGATTGTGTATGTTTCGTACAAGTAATCCGTTTTTTATTAGAGTGAAAAATCCGTTTTTTATTAGGACAGAAATGCCCCTAAAAAATAATAATAATTAATCGCGATTTCATATTGACAGGCTAATAAAACAGGCCCACGTGGAACAGCTGCCGTGCTGCCACGTGGTATAAAAAGCGCAGACTGTGTGACACGTGGTAATTCAGCCCATCTTGTTACACATTGCGTGCACTGCTTCCATAAGAGATGAGACTTTTGTTCAGGTTATTTTTGTCGTAATATAATTGGGTGGTGTGTTCGGTCTGGCCTATATTTGCTCGTTAGAGAAGCGATAGAGTACTTTACGCACCACAAAGCTGCTTGACTAGGCTTGGTACGAATACCGTCGAATGCACAGACTACGAAGCAATTCAAACCACAGACTACGAAAACAAAAGCAAAGCTTGGATATCATGCACGGTGAGGATGACATCATCATCATCTCAATCATGCAATGAGCGTAGCTGGGTTGGGGCTTCAAACATCGATATATGTGCATATACACTAGCATTGGAACTCGCACCCTTGTGGTGATACTCTTCTCTACACTCTACTATGATCCACCCATTTGGCATCTATCAGAAAAACCCACCCGTTTGGCACTACCAACCTTCTGAGCGAATTTTTTTATGGATACTTTTTATTATTTTTTTTACTTTTCATTTGCGCTGGTAAATATAAATTCTGATTTATTTTTAATTCTCAAATTTGACTTTATTTGACAGGGAATACCGGCTGAAGCAGGGTAATTTGCAATGTTTTAAAAACCGATCAGGTGGTCGAACCGTTTTTGCCTCGGGGTCGCGTGTCATCGGTTCAACCGTTTGGGTCAAATGGGTCGACCACCCATGTGTATTTAAGGTGTATAATTACTTATATACATACGTACATATATATAAGTATATATTTTATCATTAAATAATATATAAATATGTTTTAAATATGTTATATGTATTTTTGTATTTAAATTATGTTTTTAATCCATTTTTAATTTCTTTTATTTATAAAAAATATTAAAAATTGTAATTTGAGGCCAAAAAGGGGATTTTTTCATGAAAATAACAAGGCAAGGTGCCTATGGCCCCTTGGATGCATAGATTTCAAAAAGTTACTCAATCAAAAAAAATAAAAAACACCCTAATTGGACATTGAAGTGCAAAGTTATGGCCTCTAAAAGTTTGCATGCATTGAGTGTGCAACCCATGACTAGTGACCGGATCGAATAGGTCAACGGTTAAACCGTCTAGGTTGAATAGTTCTTGATCAAGTTAATGGTTTTTAATCATCTGACAGGTCTTGACTGAATCGGGCCCAAAATCATTGTTGGTGACGGTTTGAACGATTTGACCGGCTAGGTCAATAGCGGATTGAAAACACTAATAATTTGTTTGGGAATAATATACAAAGTACAATGAGAATTCCCATTGACCAACTTTCGCCTCCTCTCCAAACCCAAAAAAAGAATGCCCCAAAAGAAAACAAACAAAAAAAAATATTGAATTGGATTGGTTTGAAGACTAGGTAAGGGTGTGGGGGTAGCATTATATGCAAAATGGGATTACCTGCAAACAAAAACTCTTCATAGACTTGCAATTACATATCCCCGTGAATTTAAGATATTTTATATTTATATAGAACTTTTGATTGCAGTATATATATAAGTGTGTGTGTGAGAGAGATTAAAAGTCAAGTTCATTTAGGGTTACCATTGAGGGATTACTCTAGGTGGTCCACAGTTAGATCCTAGTCCTAATCTCCTACAATTTATACTAAGGCGTAATTTATTCATTGATGAAGGGTGATTTGGCATGACCTAGTAAGAAGGGGACATGTAGACGCGATTTGCTCGAAGGGTGACAATTCAGCCAAACGAACCCAGCCCGTAACATTCGGAGCTCGGATGTTCAGCCACCTCGGCGTAGAAACACCTTGACACCCATTCCAATTTGGGACTAAAGAACTAAAGTACCAGTTCGGAGCTAAAGAGTCAAAATTCCACGTAATTGACTCGAAAGGTCTCCCCAACGGACCCCGAATTTCTCGGATCACAACGAGACTCATCCTATCTCCGCCTGAATCGAAGGTAGACGATAAACCTTATCAACACATTGCTCTCCTTCAAAAACAGAACAAATCTTATTCGCACAGCCTGGAGATCCCGGAGCTCTTCCGTAAGGCCCACAACTACTCCATTATATAAGGACATAAAACCCCAAGGCAAAGGTACACGTGATTATTTTACTCACTAGCATTCAAGCACTCAAGTATTCAGCTCGCATCCACAATATAATACTGACTTAAGCATCGGAGCGACCTCGCCGGGTTAGCTACCCCGGGTTCTCTGATCTACTATTTAACAGATCAGTCCAGCTCACTGTGCAATTAGAGTTCGGATTGTCTTCCAGCTAGGAGTATCCAGATCGCGCACCATCAATTGGTGTCGTCTATGGGAAACGATCGAAAGGTCGTCCCAACTTTAGTTGAAATTTTACTTATCCCAATGGACTCTTTCAGCAACACCGGAAAAAGTATCGAGATGAACGTCATCGGGGGGCAAGATCAGCAATCAACCTTCCCTCAAGGTTCTACGGTATGCATTGGTCGTTTTACTATTCCTCTTACAGTGTCAGGAGTCCCATCACTGTCCGTACCGTAGGGCACTATGCAAGTGAGTGTCCCGCTTCCCCCAGTGGGCGCGACTTTCTCCAAGCCATCTGTGGTTCCTCCTAGAATCGGGCACTCCCAATTCCCTGGCCTCGTTCAGTGCGTCTGGACAATACAGATCTAGATGCAACGGGTCCAACAATTCCAATAGTATCAACATTACTATCTGTACCTGCAGTATCGGCAGCAGTTCCCACCACTGCAACCGATTCCACCCCGACACCCAGGGTTGCATCAGGACCAAACCTCGAATCGGCTTGGAAGTACCGATTCCTCCCAAGGGTCAGGTTTCGCCCTGTAGGAGGAGAGACAGTCAGCACACTCCTCCAGTCTCGCAAGGAAATTTTAGAAACTGGTTCGGGGATAGTCAACTCAACAGGGCCAATCCTCCTTGGCACTCCCAGCAAGAAAATGACGGCTCATGAGGAGATAATAGCCAGCCCGGAGTTCAAGGTGCGAACTCAAGGCAGGATCCCTCCGTCCCTTGCGATAACCAGTGCGAACCCCACAACCAAGAGAACCTAGCAAGAAAGAACTAGGATCTACCTCACGATAATGTCTGTAGTGATGCCGAAATACCAGACCAGACCAAAATCAGCAGTACCAACGCCGAGCCGATGAAGAAGCAGTAGCGGCGACATCGCAAGCCACACCGCTCCTCGACCTGAAACAATCCATCGGTGAAGCCAAGTCAGCAAGCAAAGCAAACCAAAGAAAAGGAAGAAGTGAGCTCGGTGGCTACGAAGATTGCGCCTCCATTACTTTTCCGGTCATCTCCTCTGTCTCCCGAGCTCTTAGCAACTCCGATGCTGAAAGATTTCAAGGTGCCCCCGTTAGACAAGTATGATGGGTCGTTTGACCCCAACGATCATGTGGATTCCTTCTAGTCTTAGATGCACCTAGCTGGGGCTGACGAGTCCTACATGTGTGTAGCCTTTTTCACTACGTTTAGGGGGTAGTCAAAACTTGGTATCGGAACCTCGCGCCGGGCTCCATCAAAAGCTGGTCCCAATTTGCCGACCTGTTTACTGTGCACTTCATTACCAGCAAGAGGTGCCCAAAGTCACAAGAAAGCCTTCTGAACGTGGTTTAGAGGGAAGGAGAATCAATTAGAAGCTATATAAAGCGCTTCAACAATACTTGCTTGCAGAGAAAGGAATCACCCATAAAGAGTTCAACTGGCAAGCTAACAAACCGAAAGATATCACCGAATTCCTCAAGTTAGCAGATCAGTTCATCGGTACCGAGGAGGAGATCAACCAAAAGATCGACAATCCACTGCTAGAAAAGGGGAAAAGAGAGAATGAAGGAACGAGAATGGACAATCCACCGCCAAAAAAGAGGAAGAGAGAGAAGTAAGTCAAGAAGTCGGTCCCCCTCGCGCACTCACAAGCCAAGTTGGCGCTCCAGGACCCTACCTGTGGAGAGAACGAGCTATACGCCTTTGAATGCTAAGCGATGAGAGATCTTAATGGCTACTAAGGATTCCTCCTTCGTCAAATGGCCTCCCAGGTTAAGGGGAGACCCGACAACAAGAAACCCGAATGTCTACTGCCATTTCCACCGAGATCGTGGACACAGCACGGAGAATTGTAGGAATCTCCGCAACGAGATCGAGGAACCTATCCGCCACAGGTATCTGAAGAATTACATATTGCGAGAAGAGAGGGGGCAAGCAGACCGACAGGAAGATC